TCGACGCCGTTTCGCCTCAGAGGGAAAGAAACTCCAGCTGACCTGGTTTCCTTGTTTGCTTTTGGGCGCCACGTGTCTGGTTTTGTTAAAGTGCGCTCGGGATGCGGGGAGCGAAGCCCGTGGTTCCGGCCCCGCCGCCCTCGGGTCCTCTGTACCGAGCCGCTGAGCGGGCCGTGATTGTCCCAGGGTCAGTACAGTAGTCCGGCCTGTGTGCTCCTCCCGTCGTCTCCAATAACTGTTCACGTTTCGGTCGATCGCCTGTGACCTCTGAAATCGTGGGGCTGCTTCAGGTGCTCAGGTCGCTCTGATCTCCCTGAAGCTGGAGGAACTCCGTGTCCTGCCCGCTGGGCCGCTGTCTGTAGGACCTCGGGAGGGAGCGGCGCCAGCGATGCAGCGCAGTTCCCCGCCCGGCGTCTTGAGGTCGATGGCAACCGTCCCGAGGAACACCAGGCGAATGTCATCTCAGGCCCGCTGACCGGTTTCCGGCCTCCCGGGTGACCCTCCGCCCTCCGCATAGTCCTCACTGCTGCTCTTTCGATCTTTAATGTACATTTGAGAAGAGCAACGACAAAACGTGAATTGTGTGGGTCGTTTGCTTGCGCTGAATTGGCGATATTTTCATGTATCTTATACTTTTAAGTTCAGAAAGTTAGCTAATTGATGTTCTGTATCACGTTTTTCCTTTAGAAAACTCCTCTCCTGTGTTTTAACTGCTTTGTAATATTGAACATTGCACAGTCAATGACAGCTGCGTTCTGTTTCTAACTTCCTTTTATTCTCCATTTTGCTGAGGGTCTGGGTCTTTAACTTCTTTTGTGTGTTCTCAGCCCTGCCTTCCGTTCCTCTAAATGAGTAATTCAAATCTTTAGGAACCTCCGGCCACATAGAGACTTAGCCCAGAAAATAGTCCTTCGTTCTGCCTGGGACTTTTGCCTGCAAACTTCATTTTCCTTCTCAGATCTTTCCCTCTATGCGCAGAACAAAGGACTTGTAACTCCTCTAGAAGACAATAGCCCCCTCCCTGTTTTGGCCGTCCACGTGGGATTGACTGCATTTATTTCAACTCTTCGGGGCAGCTTTTCCGTGCTGTAGGCTTAGGTTATAAATGTTGAAACAATAGGGCAAAGCAGAGTGATAAGCAGGAAACTAAAAATGCAGAGAGGAAAGCTTCAGTAAGAATATTTGTTCTTAAACAAAACAGGGAGTGAGGAATTTAAATCTACTCCAGTTGATCTTTTTTTTTTGGTACTGGGGATTGAACTCGGGTCCTTGTGCTTGCAAGGCAGGCCACCGAACCGCTGAGCTAAATCCCCAGCCCCAAGTTGAGGATCTTGATGTGAAAAAGGTTCACATATTTTTCTTCCATGCTTTTAGTTTTGTAAAAATTTTTTTTCAACTTTAATTGAGTTTATTGGTACATTTTAGGGATACAGTACAGTTACGTTCATTGTTGGGATCTTGTACCTCTACATGACAAGTCTTGATAGTTTTGTAAAATTTTTTAAATGCCATAATTCTTAGTTTGCATGGACCTTTCAGGTTAGTAGAACACTGTAGACTGCTGAAGTCAATTGAACTATCTTAATTATGAGAATTATTGATTCCAATATTGCTGGAGATTTTAAAAGTGAAACTTCAATTACAACATAAAGACAATTTGTGCCTAACTGGGGAGAGAGGTAGTATAACACATTGAGACCAAAAGCAAGACTTCAGAACTGCATTTTGCTGGCAGAAGCTGTTGCTCCCTCCGAGGCTGCCTGGTTAGGTTGTGCTGTCCTTGATTTCATGTGGGAAACAGAGAATGAGGGCACCTGGGCCAAGACTTCTGTGCTCTTTGGAACTGGGAAGAGCAGCCCTCCCTCCTGCTGGTCCCTGCGTTCTTTCAGGGGCTTCTAGTGGTCTGATATTAAGGGGATGGTGACACTACATGCTTCGTTGCATGGTAGTGAGTAGGTCTGTGGGACAGAAAAAGAATGAATTATGCCTACCAGGAGTACCATTCCTGAGGGTTAGCCTTTACATTTTAGATTTGAAAGAGGCATTCATACCTGCCTTTTAAAATTTCAGAATGAGTTTACATTTAAATCCTTGCATTCTTAAAATTGCTTTCTCAAGAAAGAATTTGAGTCTGGGTTGGTGACACACCCCTATAATCCCAACATTTTGAAGGCTGATGCAGGAGGATCACCTTCAGTTCAAGACCAGCCTGAACTACACAGTGAGACCCTGTCACTAGGGGGGAAAAAATTGAAGCCAGATTATGTTTTTGAGACGGTCTCGCTACGTAGTTGAGGCTGTCCTTGAATTCATTATGGAGCCCAGGTTGTCCTTGAATTTGTAGCGATCCTCCTGTCTCAATCCTCCTGAGTGCTGGGGTTACAGGTGTGCGCCACCACGTCTGTCCCTTCCATTTGTTGCTGATAGCCATTCTTTCTGGAATCTGTGTCATCTGAATTCACGTTTCTCTAATAGTGAGCGTTGCTGAGCTGTTTTTGATGTATTTGTTGGTTTAGCTGTGCTTCTGAGGAGTGTCTCAGTTGCCTGTTTCTTAGATGTTAGTCTGAGGAGTAGCTGGGAAAACCATTTCCTATTCCGTGGGCTGTCTCTTCACACTGCTGTGTCCTTTGCTTTGCTGTACAGAGCTTTGTGATTTGGTGCAGTCCCATTGTTGATTCTCGGTATTATTTTCTGTGACACCGGGATTCTGTTCAGAAAGTCCTTGCTTTTGCCTGCATCTTCAGGAGTTGTGCCTATTTTATCTTCCGGCAGTTTCTGCTTTAACGTTTAGACCCCAATCCATTGTTATGTTAGTTTAGTGCGTGGTGAGATATGCTTGCAGGTTCAAGTCTTCTGCGTGTAGATGGCGACTTCCCTGCTCCCCTTCCTGTGAAAGAGGCTGCCTCTCCTCCGTGTATGCTGCGGACCCTTCATTGAAGGTCAGATGCAGTAGTTGACTGTGCTGGGGTGGTTTCTGCCCCCTCGATTCTGTTCCATTGATTCCGGGTCTGCTTCTGTGCTGGTGCCATGCTGTTTTTATCACTGGCTTTTTTTTTTTTGGTACCGGGGATTGAACTCGGGTCCTTGCAAGTGGCCCCCAAACCGCTGAGCTAAATCTCCAGCCCTCACTGGCTTTGTAGTATAACTTCGAGTCAGCCTCTTGTTTGGCTTTTGTTACCCAGAATTGCTTTTGCTATTATTGGTCTTTGGTTTCATATGAATCTTAGGTTTGTTTTCTCTAGATTTCTCATTTCTGCTGAGAAATGCTGTTGGTATTTTGATTTTGATTGTGTTGAGTCTGCACCAGTTTTGGGAGTATAGCCATGTTGGCCATATTAGATCTACGGTTGCAGGATTATGGGATGTCTTTCCATTTTCTTATGTCTTCTTTGGTCTCTGTTTTTAGAATGATGTAATTTTTGTTGTACAGGTCTTTTACTTTCTTGGGCTAATTCCTTTATTTTTTCTTGACGTTATTGTGTGAATTGAATGTGATAGCCACTGCACTACCGAAACCCATTCTTGATGCTGTTGTGAATGGTTATGTTCCAATTTTTACAGTGAGTTCGTTATTAGTATATAGGAATGCTATTGATTTTTGTGTGTTGACTTTATATCCTGCCACATTACTAAATTGAGTTACTAACTTTAGAATATATGTTGGTTTTGTCAAAGGCTTTTTCATCTCTTGAGATGATCATGTGATTTTTGTCCTTTGAATTTGTGTATGTTGATCCATCCCTGCTAGGATGAATCTTACTTGGTGTATGATCTTTTGGTGATTGGCTGCATTATTTGTCATCTTGTTGAGGATTTCTGCATCTGTGTTCATTAGAGAGATTGGCATGTTGTTCTGTTTTGTTTGGAGCCTGACTCACTTTGGGATCAGGGTAATGCTTCCAGAAATGATGCTGGGAGGATGCCTTCCCTCCCCTCCCCTTTTTCTGAGACAGGTCTCTGTAATTTAGGCGGCCCCGAATTCACTGTGTAACCCAGGCTGGAGCCTTAGCCTCCTGCATTCTGGGATTACCAGTCTGCCCCACCAGCTTCTCTCTCCATTTCATTAACACAGTCATGACGGTGCCTAATCCCTGGCTCAAGGTAACTCTGGTTTGAATTATCACTAGCTGCACCAGTGATACATACATGATTGTCCCGCCAGGTGGCTTGTATCTCTTCTCAGGGGATCTCTGATTACTACAATGCAAAGAAAGGCATTGTTTTAGCAGACCAGATGTCATAATATTACAATGTCTTAAGGAAAACATACCATAAAATGGTATAAGAACTGTCATACAGCTAATTTGTGGTACAGAAGTTGTAAGTGCCTATTTTACACACCAGCACTGGGGTACTTCGATAAAGTATTCACAACTATAAATGCATTTCATTTAATGAAATAAATTGTTGATTATTGTGATAATTTTTTATTGATTTGAATAGCTTTAATTACCATTTATATTTTGGGTAGTAAGTATTGATATTCAAGCAACTAACTAGATTCAGTCCATTTGTAGACCTCATTTTATTCGTAAAAAGACAGAGTGATTAGGTCATTTGTACCACTAGTTGCTCACGCCAGCAGGGAAGTTGCCGAGCCTGAGCACCAGGGCTCCATCTTTCCTGGGGTCCATACAGCCCGCCAGGTCCTGTGGTTTGTGTCCGGGAGTCAGCTGTCATCTAGTGGTTTTTCCTTTATGGTCCTTTGTTGCTTTTCCTCCAGCTCTTAAGTCTGTTCTTGTGCTGGATTTCTGTTATTTTGACTAGGATGTGCTGT